TTTTTTTTTTTTTTTTTAATAAAAACTATAACAGACCTCTGGTGGCATAGTACCTAAGGCACTTGACTGCTAACCTGAAGGTTGGTGATTCAAACCCCCTAGCTACTCCACGGAAGGAAGACTAAGTAATCTACTTCCATAAAGATTTACCCTCTCAGAAACACAAAGGGGGTTGTTATGAGTTGTAATTGACCTAATGGCAGTGAGTTTGGTTTATGCTTTTTTTATATATAAAAACTATATGCATAGTTTATCGGTTATGCCATGGAGGGAGAATATTCTTATTTGTAAAACTGAAACATTGTTATTTTTATCATTAAAATTTTACATATATGATTGACATAACTGAAAAGAACAATTTGATGATAAATCTATTAACCAAAAAAGTTGGTTACAGTAATTATAAAATTATAATATTCTTGATCCAGTCAATAGAACAGTTGTAGGCTATGAATTGTATAAACATAGTAGTAACATAATGTGTTAATAGTAGGAAAAACTAATGACTCTTTAATAATATGACAAAGGACTGACTTCTGCATTAGAATATTCATTTTTGTTTCGTATGGGAAACAAAGGGATCTATCAGTTTCCCTGGGGATATTTTTTATCTAATGTACTGCTCCTTCCCCTTTACCTAAAATTATCTACATTTCTTTTCTTCCCTGACCCAGTAATCCCATTTTCTTACCTCTGCATGAGGAAAAGGAGGTTCTGGGAGATACACTTTAGTCTGTTTGTTGTGACAAAGCCTTTTAAAGAGGAGAAATAGATCAGCATATTACTTAGGACATACTGTGGTACTTGTTGCCACCTAGTGGTAGCAGTGCAAATAACTAAACACTAAAGTATTACAAATTTTCCTGCCAGTGAATTTCAGAGTGAATAAAAGTCCTACAGAGCTTTCAGGACATAAGCATATTGTGAGCCAATTTTTTAAAACCTTTAAAATTCCTCAATAAAAAAACAAACAAAAGAACCCAAACCAGGTGCCACTGAGTTGACCCTGACTCACATATCTAAGTAAAACCGTGCTTCACGGGGTTTTTTTCAATGCTGTGATCTTTCAGAAATAGATGGCCAAGTCTTTCTTCTGAGATTCCTCTTGGTAGATATGAACTACTAATCTTTCATTAACAGTCATGTGCTTAAAATAAACTTTTCATTTTGGAAAAATTTCAGATTTACAAAAAAGTTGCAAAGATAGAAATGTATCTTCTACTCAGTTTCCCCTAATGTTAACATCTTCCATTATATTTTGCGGTACATAAAAGCTGTAAATTCGACAAAACTAATTAATTAGCATTAGTACATTATTACAAACTAAATGCCAGTCTTTATTCAATTTCACCAGTTTTTCCACAAATGTTCTCTTTCTGTTGTAACATCCAATAAAGGACACCACATTGAATTTAGGTCTTTGATCTTTTGACAAGTTTTTTATTTTTATATATTGATAGTTTTAGTATTTTTTTTATATTCTATTGTTACAATCCTTTTCCCTACAGCTGTGAATTGGTTAACCATTTTCTTTCAGTTTCAGAGTTTCTTTTGTCTTCTTTTTTGTCTCCCACCCCCACCCCACTTAATGATTTTATCTGGAATTTGTTTTAGTGTATAGTATGAAAAGAAGCATTCATTTTATTTTATTTTCCCAAATGGTCAAGGAATTACTTGTCTAGGTACTATTTAATGAATAATCTTTCCTTTTTCAACTGATTTGTATTAATATCATATACTAAACTTTTGTATGGTTTGTTTCTAGATAAATACTGATCTATCCTTTTGTTGGCAAATATAATGTCAATATATTTTAACAACTGTTGCCTCATTTATAATTATATTATGTGGTAAATTTCTCCCTTAATTACTTTTCTCAGGCAAAGTTTTCTAACCTATTCTTGCTCATTTCTCTTTGCATGAGAACTGTAGAATTACTATCAATTTCTAGAATAAATCCTACTGATTACATAAAACCCATAAGTTATAAATTTGCATCTTTGTAGTAGTCTTCCCATGAGAGGTGTCTCATTTTTAAGCTTCTGAAATATCCTTCTCAGAATCTTAAACTTAGTGATCATATACTTACTTCTTCCTATGTTCCCTCCCATATTTCTATTTAGTTCAATCAATAAACATGTAGTAAGTGCCACCATGTGTTAAGCAATGAGGATACAAAGAAGTCTCTTACTTTGAGATTCTGGATAGAGTGGGAGGAAAAATGTGGAACAAAATCCAAAAACTCAATAATGATCAGAATTATTGGTTGGATGGAGTCTGGTGAGACCCCCAATACTATGGTCCTGGGATACATTCTGGGCCAGGAATAAAACTCACTCTGTGGGGCTGGCTCTCTCAGCCCAATAGTAAACAAGATGTACATGCAGACCACTCAACCCAGGGTGACGCACCCATATACTCTATGGAAATGCCTCCCTTGGAGCAATCGACCACAGGGCACCAGAGGGGCAACATTCACACAGAGAAAATGTAGGACACACAGGAGTGCATAACTGTGAGGGGTACGGGGCGGGGGGAAGGGTTACTGGGCAGGGAGGGAAGGCGACTGGGTTAGGGTTGGGGATGGTAACTGGGGAGTGAAACTAAATGAACACTTAATGTTGAATGTGAAACAAACTCTTAAAGAAATTTAAAATAAATATATAAAATACATTTTATTAAAAAAAAAGTCTCTCACTTTGAGGACTCTCTAGCATAAAGAAAGAGGCTGATGTGTAAACCTCTCACCACTTGAAATAATCTGATGAAGACACAGATACACACATATGTACAGTCATAATACATATATATGGTCTAAGAATATAGAGAAGGGATGGCCAATTCCATTTAGGGGTTTAAGAAAGGCTCCCTAGAAGAAGATGCTCTTAAGAATAAGTAAGAGTTGGCCAAAGAGAAATCCTGCTTGGGTGTGAATTACCTGGGGGTGGCAGTGTGGACTGAGGTATAACATAGGCAAGGACATACAGGGGAGCCTTGAACAGGTGGTTTTATTAGATAACTGTCCACAGTTCCTTACTGTTAGGGTATGAAGTTCAAGGATGGGGAATGGCAAGAGTAAAGGCTACAGGGATCCTATCAATAAAGAGGAATTATTGGAGGACTTTAAAAAAGATATCAACACAATCACATTCGCATTTTAGATAGATCCTTCAGCAATCAATTGGAGGTCATATGTGGGGGTTTGGATGGAGCATGAGACTGAAGCACAATAAGTGGCCTTTTGCAGAGGCCAATGTAGAGAGAAGACTCCAGTCTACCCCATACTGTAGAAATGCAGAGCAGAAACCAATCTGAGAAACAATTAGGAAATAAAGTTGGCAGGATTTATTGGTTACTTGATACAGAAAAGGGAGCAATCAAGAATGATGCTTCAATGCCTGGCATGGTGGATGGTAGTGACCTCAAACAAAATAGAAAACTACAAAAGGAAGAGTAGGTTCATGCTTCAAGGATGATTAGTTTAGTTTGGCTTTATCCTTGAGGCATTTGTTGTGCCTGTGGTGTGTACAAGTGAAGAATTACCAATCCATGAACCACAGAAGCAGAGCTGGAGTTACAGAATGGGGTGTCCTTAGCAGTGAGGTAGATGAAGCCACACAGAATGGGGTGTCCTTAGCAGTGAGGTAGATGAAGCCACAAGAATGAACGGGAAGCAGAGATACGTGAGCAGAGGGTAAAGGATAGAACCCCACGTAGTACCAGCATTTAAGGGATAGGTAGAGATAGACTACTTATGAAAATTGAGGAAAGAGGAACAGTTAAAGAAGTACAGGCAGTCCACAGGTTACAAAAGAGATCCATATCTAAGTGGGTCTTTAAGTTGAATTTGTAGGTAAATTGGAACAGGTGCATACGGTTCTTATTTGGCCTTATTCTACTGGAAGGTTTAAGTTCTTTCAATGATTTAAAAGCTGCATGTGCAGCAAGTGAAGGTGATTGTGATGAAGAATTTGTTGCAAGGGTTGGTTCAATCATTTCAAAGGAAGGGCATTTACAGAACATTAAAGGGCAAGTATGAGTTGACCATAAATTGGACATTTGTAACACAGGGACTTAGAATAAGAGAATTTTGATGTATCTATTTTTCTCAGTGTAATTTACACAAACAAATTTTACAGAAATAAAAATATTTTCTTAACATAATTTGCACCCCAGAGTGAACAACTGTCCTGGTTTTAGTACAGAAAGTTCTATGCCCTGGGTACCCCTTAGTCCCAGGGTAAACCATGACAGCTGGATACCATACTCCACATATTAGTTTGCCAGTTCTGAAACTTGGCTGCACACTGGAGTCACTCGGGAAGCTTTAAAAGATACTGATGCCAAAAAAAAAAAAAGATACTGATGCTTCGGGACCACCATGGGACACTCTGATTCAATTGGACTGAGGAGGGCAGGGTAATAGGATTTTGAAAAGCTTATCGGGTAATTTCAATATTTAGCAAAGGTTAAAAACTACTCTCTTAGAAGGAATTTTGCCTATTTTGAAACAAAGTTTACCACTAACTAACTGGGTTAGGAGAACAGAAAAGGAGCTGATACTTATTTCTGTTCCCTATACTCCGTGGCCAGTTTGCTTTCATTTCCTTCCATATTTTCTAATTCTTCCAGTCTCCCCTAGTAAAAGGCTTCAAAGCTGTTGGTCTTGTCCATATGTTAGTACTGTGAGTACATGAGCTGAGATACTAGCAGCTCTCTGATTCCTTTGCTTTGGATGAAACTGCGTCCCATGTCTAATATTCAGAACCAGTGAAAATCCTATAAACATCTAACAGGCAAGCTCTCTTCCCTAATTCACTTTGTTGTTAAACAGCCTTGCTTTAAAAGCAAGCTTACTCTCTAAATAAGGAATTTGGTTACTAAAATTCAAAAACATTAGCTTCAGACTTGAATTAGTGAATGACTATTGCGAAAACAGGTCAGTACTAAGCCCCTAAGCCAGGACTCCCACAGCCCACTCTGAAGGCACTGCTTCACCTCCTTTGCTGCTCTAGGGATCAATATCCCCACGACTAGGTTGCTATAGGCATTTAGTCTCAGGTCAGCCTGCTCTTCCCGGTCTGGTCCTAGCCATAATGGTTCCTACTGCCTTGGCTTCTGGCCTCTGTGGCTCCTGACCTCATGAGTTCTGCTCTAGCCTATAGATGGCCCTTCTGTGGTACCCGCAGAAGCCTCAGCTTCTTGCTGTCCCCCAGTGTCTGCCAACATTTGCTTGTTTGGGTGTGTTTTGTTTTTAAAGAAAAGAGAAGCAACATAATGTTAGTATATAAAACAGAATGATGTATAAATTCCTTTTTTTTTGTTACTCAGCAATTCAGCAGAATACTGTGTCCATTTTGGTACTACCACACTATGAAAAGGGATTAAACATACCCTATCTTATGTGTGTCAGAGCTTTTGAAAGTTTGGAAAACACCATTCTAGGTCACTATATTATGTATACTAGAAAAGTTAAGTTAATCTTAAACCCTAAAAAGGTCCACTGACTTCATATGGATCAATACTTTACCCACCCTAGGATTCAGTCAAATAATCTGCTGTTGTAATCAAACCCAATTTTGTTAAACAACATGCGACTGAAATAAGAAAAAAAAATCTTTTTATTACCAAATTTGGTGTAAGTTTTAAACAACGTGAATATAGCTTTCATATTTTTTTTTAACTGTTCAGAATGTAACTTCATTTTGTGAGAGGCAGAGGGCAGCATGTGAGAAGATAAAAGACATAACATTTTTGCTATTGATTTTGAAAGTGTTGGAAAATTAAGTCTTTGCTTTTCATTTCTTACTCCTTCATAACTACTTTTCTAAACTCTAGCAACCTAACAGATTTGGTTTTCATTAATGAAGATCTGCAGATCACAGACATGGCAAAACAATGAAATGAAAGTTTCATACTAATGTGAGGAAAAAAAAAACATTATTTTAATTCTTACTGCTTGTGAATATATGAATTCTGAATCAAATAGAAAAAGAGAAGAATACTGACATACCACTCAGCAAAAATCTGGGAAAACTCGAGTGAACTGTTAGCCACAGGGGAGATGAAGTAGAAAGGGACATTGGAGAGGCCGGCTGAGTCAATGTACTGATACAGGCATTCCAGGAGATCATAGATCACTCCAGAAGGGTAGCAGGGAACCAACACATTACCTCCATTCCGGACTGTAAGAGCTATAAAAATAGAAGCCACATGTGAAAGAAAGAAAGAAAGAAAAAGTATCAAAGGACAGTTTTATCATGACAGACTGTAACTTTTAAAATAATACTTGTACTTCTTTCATTTTTCTACTTCTGCTCTTAAAATTCACTTCACATGTGTAATAATCTGTTTCTTGCAAGAGTACCAGCACTGAAGTGGGGGCTCTAGAGGCTGATAATCAGCTAACTTTTAATTCAATGTCTGAGTCCCTGGGAATAGGTGCACAATTAAGAGTTTGGGTTTCAAAGGTTACCAATGGCAGTTGAACCTCAGGATGGACCCTCCAGGTGCCTTCTTCTAGCTCCTGTTTAAAAAACTGCTAGAGTAGTCACTGCTGAATAACCTACAAGGAAATAGGCCAAGTTTTTCCTATGGGCTGTTTTTGAGTGGCATTTTCTTTTATTGATGTTTTGTCTCTTAGAAAGTTCTTCAAACTTTACATACTGAAAATACATTATCAAGTAAAGAATTGCAACTTATGAGTTATAATCATATCGAGAGTTATAACTGGCTAAAAAAATTCTTATATGAGTTTGTCTTTGGTTTGGTTTCTAAAACAAATTAATACAAGAATCTTTTGGGTACAGAATTTGAAGTCTTTGATGGCTTATGTTTACCTACATGCTATATGTGGAACACAACTGACTTGCTGCTACTAGAGTATGGCACAGTGAAAAAACCAAAATCAGTGGCCAGGGATCAAGAGGTCTGGACCCTAGCCCTGGCTTTGTCACAAAGCTATAGGACCTTAGGAAAACCACTATGTCTTTGCAGGCCTCAGTTTTCTCATCAGGTAAACTAGAGGAACGAACTAGATGAGTCAAGCTTTAATTTGCTTAAGAATTGCCAGTTGAGACTGGGATCTTAAAAGCTTGGAAGTGGCCATCAAGATGCAAAGATGTATCTCTCCTCGTCCAGAACAAACAAGAATAAAGAAAACCAAAGACGCATGGAAACAATGAGTCCAAGTGACTGGTACACCATGTGATCCTCAGTGTATACAACTATGAGATCAGAAGAACTAGACGATGCCCAGCTACCACTGTCAACCACTTAGAGGGGGATCTATGGAGGAGATCCTGGATACAGTGGGAGAACAACATGGAACAAAATTCAAAATCATTTAAAAATAAAAAAAAAGGGGACCACGTTTGCTGGTCTGACAGAGCCTGGTGGAACCACTGAGACTATGGCCCTTCAACCTAGCTACCCTTTAGGTCTGGAATTGAACCCACTCATGTGTCTTCCAGCCAAACAAAAGATAGGCATATAAGCTGAATATTTACATTACGCAGATACACTCCTTGGAGAGTATCTGGGACAATAGAAGAGGTATGTATGCACAGGAAGACAGCTTGAGGGGCAGGAGTGCATGGGAGGGTAGGGAAGAGGTAACTATGGGGAGGAAGTGGGAAGAGAGCTGTTGCACTGTGGGAAATTACAGTCAATGTCATGAGACAAAGTGTATGTAAACTGCTGTATGGAAAGTGAATTTTCTCTGTAAGTTTTCACCCAAATCACAATTAAAAAAAAAAAAAAAAAGAATTGCCAGTTGAAAATGCAACTTTTCTCTCCCATGCCCTGAGAGTCTGTCTTACTAGGCTTGTGGTAGGGTACTCAAAGCTCAATATTTAGATACCCTGCCTTGATCCTGAGGTTTGCAGATTCTATTTTGAGAAAACAGTGAATTAGACATAAGGTTCCTTTCAGACATAAAGTTCTTTGAGTCTATGATTCTAGATTATAAACCAACCAACCAACGATTCTACTTGAGAGTAGTATTTCCAAGGCAAGAATAAATTATGTTTGCTTATTTTTAGCAAAGAACAAAAACAGATCAACTATAATTAGCAAAGCTAAGTGAAATTTCGAAAGACAGCACCTTTCATGAAAATATAGTATGACTATTTCTTTTCCCTAGAATAGATGTAATATTACTTCAAGTCATTAGGGATGAATAGGCTAAGCTCATTACTTCCTCTAATACTTTTCTAAAAGAAAGGCAGGATTTCTAAATTTTATTTGCAATTATATCCAAAGAAAATAAATTTGTTGTTGTTGTTGTTGTTTGCCGTCGAGTTGGCCCCGACTCATAGCGACCCCTCCTTGGGTTTCCGAGGCAGTATCACTA